AGCCATATTGTCAGTATGGGAACCATATTGGTGGCCCTCTTGAAGGCCATCTTGAACACCCATCTCAGGCAGCCATATTGGTGGCCATATTGGTAGCCATGGTGACCATATTGGAGGCCATCTTAGTGGGCATCTTGGCAGCCATATTGTCAGTATCGCAGCCATATTGGTGGCCATATTGATGACCATCTTGAACACCCATCTCAGGCAGCTATATTGGCCAGCTAGACCATTTTGCTGCCATCTTGGCTGCCCACTCCTGTTGGTCGGCCATCTTGGCACAGTCTCACAGAGCCCTGGGGAGGGTGTGGGCAGGGCAGGGGGCAGAGCTGACCTGGGAAGAGGACTCTGGCGGCCATGCCAGGCAGGACCATGAGGAACATGGGCAGCACCTTGAGGTAGCCACAGACGACGCAGCCAGCGCGAACGTGGGTCAGGGAGCGCCCGGCCAGGCAGCGCTGCACGATCACCTGCGGGGGCACCAGTGCTCCCAGTGCCTCCCAGTGCCAGCCTGGGACCAGCCTTCCCAGTGCCATCCCAGTATCATCCCAGTTCTCCCAGTTCCAGCCTGGTGCCATCCCAGTACTCCCAGTTACAGGCTGGGGCCTACCAGTGCCATCCCAGTACCATGCCAGTGCTCCCAGTTCTAGCCTGCTGCCTCTCAGTGCCATCCCAGTGCTCCCAGTTCAGCCTGGTGTCTTCCCTGTGCCATCCCAGTGCTCCCAGTTCCAGCCTGGTGCCATCCCAGTACTCCCAGTTACAGGCTGGGGCCTACCAGTGCCATCCCAGTACCATGCCAGTGCTCCCAGTTCTAGCCTGCTGCCTCTCAGTGCCATCCCAGTGCTCCCAGTTCAGCCTGGTGTCTTCCCTGTGCCATCCCAGTGCTCCCAGTTCCAGCCTGCTGCCTCCCAGGGTACTCCCAGTGCTCCCAGTTCCAGCCTGCTGCCTCCCAGGGTACTCCCAGTGCTCCCAGTTCCAGCCTGCTGCCTCCCAGGGTACTCCCAGTGCTCCCAGTTCCAGCCTGCTGCCTCCCAGGGTACTCCCAGTGCTCCCAGTTCCAGCCTGCTGCCTCCCAGGGTACTCCCAGTGCTCCCAGTTCCAGCCTGCTGCCTCCCAGGGTACTCCCAGTGCTCCCAGTTCCAGCCTGCTGCCTCCCAGGGTACTCCCAGTGCTCCCAGTTCCAGCCTGGTGCCTCCCAGTTCAAGTCTAGTGCCATCCCAGTGCTCCCAGTTACAGCCTGAGCCCTCCCAGGGGCTTCCCAGTGCCATCCCAGTACCATCCCAGTGCTCCCAGTTCCAGCCTGTTGCCTCCCAGGGTACTCCCAGTGCTCCCAGTTCCAGCCTGGTGCCTCCCAGTTCAAGTCTAGTGCCATCCCAGTGCTCCCAGTTACAGCCTGAGACCTCCCAGGGGCTTCCCAGTGCCATCCCAGTACCATCCCAGTGCTCCCAGTTCCAGCCTGCTGCCTCCCAGGGTACTCCCAGTGCTCCCAGTTCCAGCCTGGTGTCTTTCCTCTGCCATCCCAGTGACATCCCAGGGTGCCATCCCAGTGCTCCCAGTTACAGCCTAGTGCCTTCCTCTGCCATCCCAGTGCCATCCCAGTGCTCTCAGTCCCAGCCTGGGACCTCCCAGTGCCATCCTGGTGCCTTCCCAGTGCCATCCCAGTGTTCCCAGTTACAGCCTGGGACCTCCCAGTGCCTTCCCAGTGCCATCCCAGGGCCATCCCAGAGCACCCAGTTCCAGCCTGGTGCCATCCCAGTACCATCCCAGGGCTCACAGTTACAGGGTGGAGCCTCACAGTGTCTCCCCAGTGCCTTCCCAATGCTCCCAGTTACAGCCTGGTGCCATCCCAGGGCTCCCACTTCCAGCCTGGTGTCTTCCCAATGTCTTCCTAGTCCCATCCCAGTGCTCCCAGTTACAGCCTGGGACCTCCCAGGGAATTCACAGTGCCATCCCAGTGCTCCCAGTTCGAGCCTGGTGAGTCCCAGTTGAAGCCCAGTTACCCTCCCAGGGCTCCCAGTCCCTCCCAATCACCACCCATTCCCTCCCAGTCCCTCCCCATCCCCTCTCAATTCCTCCCAATCCCTCCCAACCCCCTCCCAGTGCCTCCAAATC